AAACCTGACTCAAAAAACTTTAAAATCTTAAACCTAAACCCGAAATCCCAAACCTAGAAACTCTGAAACTTAGAACCTAAACCCTGAACCCTGAACCCTGAACCCTGAACTCAGAACCCTCAACCCCCAACCTCGAACCCTGAAACCTAAACCCTAAACCCATAACCCCCAACCCCCAACCTCAACCCAACCCTCAACCCTCAACACTGAAGTCTGAACCCTGAACCCTAAACATTGAAGTCTAAACCCTGAACCTGAAAGCCTGAACCCTGAACCCTCAACCCTAAATCCTGAAAACCCTGAACCTGAACCCTCAACCCTGAAATAGCGGACAATACATCACTATAGGGGCAGCGCGCAAATGCTTACTTGAAGAAAGGTCAAACACCATCATCCTGACCCTCAAATTACTATTATTATGTTATTAGTGAATCCCTACATGATTTCAACAATCTGAAACGACATAAAGTAATATTAAGAAATTGCAAAAAATGATATGACGTATTGCGGCACCATTACACATTCTGCAACACCATTTGAGGGTGTGAAAAATGTACCGGCAAGCCGACAATATCAGTTTTTTATGTAGACTATATTTTGAACCTAAAATGTTTACAGTGAATCTTTGTCGGAGCAGCGCACTAGTGCAAGTTTGGAATTTGGTGAAAATCGATCATCTCAGTGCTCAAATCATGACTTTTAGGTGACTAGGGTTTATGTGTATTGCGACATTATTTAAACAGCCTGTAAGGGCATAACATAACATCTTGAATTTTTTTAAAAATGATTTAATGTGTTACAATACTGTTCCACTTGTTGTGTTGCACCATTTTTTATCACCCCATAACATTGGAATCTTTTAATATTTTAGGTCCTCCATGATTTACCACATAACAAGCCATCTCACGTACTACGGGAGACATACAAATGTCCCTAATGGCCCGACAATATTTTTGTTTTGACGTGTAATTATATTTTTTGAATCGAAATAGTGGATATTGTCACTACTGGGGTAGCGCGCCGGCATAACTTGAAAATTTGTCAAATTCCATCATCTCGACCTCAAATCTTGAATTTTATGTTTATAGGGATTTAGTACAATCCTAATGACTTAAACAGTTCAAAAGGGCACTAAGTAACATTTTGATATTGTCAAAAAATGATATGATGTGTCACAACATCATTCCATATATTGTGCAACACCATTTTTGGCGCCCCATAGTTTTAAATCAGCTAATATTACATGTTCTCTATCATTATACCTCATAACGGGTCATCTTAGGGATTGTGGGGGCCTGAAAAATGTCCTGGTCAGCTGATAGAGTCGTTTTTTGATGTAAAAACCCATTTTATTGAACTTAAATTGTTCAATATACATCATTGTCAGGGCAACACACCAGTGCTATCTTGGAATTTGGTCAAATTCCATCACTCGACCCTCAAATCATGACTGATAGGATTCTAGGACCTACGTGTATCATTACATATGCAAGCAACCCATAAGTGCACATTGTAACGTCGTGAAATTATTGAATAATGATATGATGTGTCACAATATTGTTCCACAAATCCTATTGCACCATTTTTTATGATCCCAAACTTTTAAATCTCTACCCTAATTATTACCTTATAACGAGAGATCTCGCAGAATACAAGGGAATAAAAATTGTTTGACGAGCCGACAATATTCGTTTTTGACGTTTAAACACATTTTTTGAATCGAAACGGTTGACTATATATCATTACAAATGATCAAAAACCAAATAGAGATTCCTTGGACCCGTTACCAGAGGGGACTTACAACCTTCAGAGAGAATGTTCTACCAACAAGCCATGGTACGCACACAAAGAAGATTAAACTTATATCTGCAAAAATTCTGATTTGTGGAGCTTCATACTAAGGGAAGGTAATCAACCAATAAATTGGCTTGCCAAAGAAGATAATGCTACTAGAATCATAGTTGTTAGTATACTTCCATGTCATACTTTAAAAGTCCTATTACATGAGGATTCGCTTGCATCCCATATGTTAGATGTAAAACAAGCAAACTTGTTTTGATGAAATGAATATGGACTTGCAATATATATATATAGCTGGACGAAAGCAAACACAGATGGAAGCTGGAATGGGGAAGTATATATATATATAT